GAAAAGAGAGGCATGATCTTTCTTTCGATATCAAGCGTGAAACAGGAAACGTCATCTTCAATGCTATGACGGATAAGGTTGTTAAACTGGCCAGTCATGCTCCATCGATGTACCATTGGATGCCAATTCCCATCTGTTTCTCTGATTCTTGACGTATTCGAATATGCATTTCTGTATGCCTCAACCAGTATTCAACTGCCCACTTTGGTTGTCATTTTGGGGTGTGGAGCTAACGGATCATTGTCAAAGAAGCAGAAATCATCATCCGTAAGACGTGGATCGGCAAGCACTGCCACACACAATTGTAGCCTCCAGGCACACAACTTGAATCTTTGCACCACAATGAGGAAGCGTTATCTCCTTTTCGAAAGGAAACTTTTCGGTCATGTTGTACCGTTTCTTGAGCAAGCTCATCAATGCTTTTGCGGCTGAGGTAGTCTGGCACTTCACCGATTGGCTCATCTCCAACTCGCTTACCAGTTTCCTCTAGGTGCCAGCCAAGAATATCTTCATAGGCAGTCAGAGGTGTTTTGTTCTTTCGTAAGATATCCATCAGCCTGACGCCCCTGCCTGCTTTGCATTCAGTGGATGTTGCTACGCCGACTCTTCTCACAGTACTGTCTGAATTGCTTGATAATTCTGTTGTCAGGGTCTCTTGATCCTTGTTTCTTTTCCTGGTTGTCGTTTTGTATGATTGTGGCCACGGATCCTTCACTACTGGATTCCTCATCACTGCAGTTTCATCCGAATCCTCGTCTGTGCTTCCTGATCCTCGTCCCCGCATCTACCTCTTCTCGCCTTCCCTAATACCGTCATTTGGTTGCCAATTTGTGCATCCGTTGCCTGTTTTCTATCATCCTCGTCGTCATCCTCATTTCGTCGTCCTCATCCTCATCTTTAGACCAGTACGATCAACATTCAAGGGGTCCCATTCCATTGGATCATCTTCCTCTTGCATCTCTGGTGGAATGTCCTGACTGGATTTTCCTCTTCCTCTTCCTGTGTTGTTGGTGTTGGTGCCCTTGCGGGCCTCCCAGTGTCAGTAGCACCTAGATCTGCAGCCCTTGCCCTGGATCTACTCCTTTTGTTAGTCCAGTGTCATGCCCAGCACTCTGTTCCGTGCCTCAATACAAGGTTGATAGGCTTGTATGTGACTTGATAGAGCTCCCTGGTTCTTAAACCAATCATCACAGTACTTCACAACGATACAAACCATTTGTAGATAGACAAATCAACTGGTAGCTTCAGACGTTACTTTTTAGCATATAGAATGTACTAGACACTTCAAAAATGTGGCTTCTGAGGTTCCAAATTGACAGTTTCTGGGCTCTGGAGTGGCTCGATCTTATAAAATGAGATTGTACTTAGCAATCCGTAAACTCGTCCTGGTGCATTCTGTATGTAGTTTGCCTCCCAAATACATACACATACCTAAGTAACCGAAAGGGCACGACTGGGTTGGCAAGGTCGTGGCTGTATGTTATCATGCATGCTACCTTACAAATCAGGAGCTCGTCGGATCCGGTTGGATGACCTCACCTTCCGAAACTGCTGAATTACTACCAAAGCTTTAACCAGCGACGTCACGATTTTATATGCCAAACACGTGGAATGGTATGGTAGGGGTGCTCCCGTTTTCGCGCTACCTAAAAATGCACTTCTTAGATGAGCGTGTCATTGTTATGTCGCCTTTACTGGGATCGTTTGCCTGATCGGAGAGGGGACAGTTTGATTGTAATCCGTCTTGGTTGATGGGCAATGGTACACTTGTGGCTGTGATTGAATTCTTTTTCTGTTGCTGTAAAAATAATCGAATTGAATCTTTGAGCCGAAATACTTTGTTGCGTCTGGTCGTATTGGGAACTGCATTGATGGGTTCCTTCTGCAGTTTGACTTCTAAAGGGGTGTTGTCCTGTGAGTATTGCATTGTGTTTGTGCTGTCTGTAGATGGCTTCAATTTCAATGAGAGCTGTGGTCTATCTTCCTTCTGCAGGACCGTTGTATCATTTACGCCGTTGGAAAGCTTGGAGTGGCTATGGACACATTGCGTGGTTTGGGGGGTAGTTTCGTCGTTGCTGACATTGAGTGTCTTGATGCTTGATTTGGCATTGCGACTTGAGAAGACGGTCAGTAGAGTGGAACATTTCGTATCATCGCATAAGTTGACATAATCATCGCTGTTGTGAGACCAAGTCGCTGTGTCTGGAATACTAAGTGCAGCGCTTGGGATGTCGGTGGGTTGCGGTATTGCTTTCGAGTCGCAGAGCTTCACACCACTGCCCTTGGACAGGGCCGGCCATGCAGTGTCATCTGTTAGATCAGTAATTAATAAATTAGTTGTTGTGATCGCTTGGGTGCTGTCGACTTTGGCATAGACGGCGACATTCTTGGTGGGTCTCTGTTTCTTCCGTAGTCTTTTTGATGTTGAAAGTTTGGTTGTGGATGGATGAGTGACCTCCCATGCAACTGGAGTATCAGAGCTGTTGTAAAGGACTGGTGGTATTGGCAACGATGTTGGCTCAATGATGGCTGGAATTTTGTTCGAGCATTTCTTTTTATTTTGTTGTTTCTGACGTCGCTCGTTCTGAGCATTGGTAGATGTGTTAATCCTTGGTGGGGTGTCTGCCTTAGTTGCGTCGTCCTCGGAGCCAGTTCCTGTAGTGTCGAGAGTGATAATTGATAGATCGTCAATCGACTCCATTGAATTTTGTTGAAGCCATTTGTCGCAGCTATCTATTAACGCAAGAAATGGGTTGTCATTGCGAGGAAATTCAAAAGGAGTTTCGGTGGGTTGTATTGTAGGTGTGGCCATCTTCATTGGAGTGGTCTTCTTGCTTCTTGGAATATCGTGGAAAACCTCGGATGGAGTGGTATGGACCGTCGTAGTCGTACTAGTATAAGAAGAGTCTTTACGGTTGAATGCCGTCGACCGTGCCTTGTTACTAGGAGAGTTTCTTGACCAATCGTGATGCTCTCAAGGATGGTCTATCATCCGCATGCATCACGGGTGCATTATCCACCATTGTTGGAACCATTGGAGGCTTCGATCGACTGCGAAAAGGATCAAAGGGCGCCATGGTGGCTCTTTTTCTTTCGGGTGGATAGGAAACAGCCAGTTTTACTATAGAATAAACAGTACAAATTTGCGAGTCAGTGTGCGTCCTGAACAGGTGATTCTAGATTGCGCAAATCTAGAATCACTTAGCCTAAGTGACGCTTTTCGTGGCAGCTTCTCTCAGCTCATAATCTGTCAGATTTCATTTTTTCAAAGGCACTGGGAAAACTCTGGCTCTGAGATATGTCAATATAAAAACTGTTAAGGATGGAAACAAATCACGACCATTAGCTTCCACTCTTACAAGGACAGGCCAATGGTGCATCCAACAATACCAATGCTACCAACACCAACAATAGTGTTGGCGAGGATGATTTGATTGAGTCTGAGCTTGGGTCTGAGATTGACCATGTCATAGGAGCAGTTGTTGACTCCGAAGAAAAGAAGAAAGAGAAGCAACGTGAGCACACAAAACAGTATGACAGAAAGCGGAAACAAGAAAATATCACAGCATCTACAGGTCTATGCATTTTGATTCTGATCCCTACCAAGAGCACCAAGCCTATGGCAGTCAACCCTTCTACGCATTACGGACAATTGTTCAACCAGGAATATCACGACAATATTGATTTCCAAAATGACTTCTTTCCAACGGTTATTGGTTGTTTGGACAAGATTCCCCTTATCAATGCAGACAATATCACTCAACTTCCTGGAAACAAGGACGTTCCGAGCTATGTGATTTCAAGTGGATTCTACTTGGTTTTGGGAGCTGTATTGAAAAAACGCCTTGGAGCAAAGCGTGTTGCTTTTTCATTCTACAATACTTTGAAACAAGCAATGGAGACTGTCCCAGATGAACTTCCAACTATCATTCAACAAAGATTTGATTTGGTAATCCTTGGTGATGACAAAGAATTGCGGTACTCTGATGAATTGGATGGTTTGACTGATCTTCCCACACTGGAGCAAGAAACCAGACATTACAACACGGTATGATCCTCAATTTTCTTTTTGCTGCGACGTGATTGCTTGGTGGAATTTGAAACAGCAGCAATACCAGTAGACACGTCTTTGTGGTTGCAGGGACTTGTTGTGTTGTGCTGTTGAGGAAACTTGAGACTTGTGCTGTTGAGGAGCCTTGGAGAGCATCACTTAGCCTAAGTGTTTCGTTTAGCCTAAGTGAGTTGATTAGTATGGCTTAGCCTAAGTGTTTGGCTTAGCCTAAGTGAGTTGCTTAGTATGGCTTAGCCTAAGTGTATTGCTTAGCCTAAGTGTTTCGCTTAGCCTAAGTGTATTGCTTAGGCTAAGTGTTTTACTTAGCCTAAGTGGATTTTCGAGCACTTAGCCTAAGTGAAAATTTGTGAGGGACAAATCACGCTACCCCAGCCAGCTACTGTAGCTATTACTGTACCTGGAAGGCCTGGTCACGCAACTGCTGGTCACCAAAAATCAGCATAAAGTTGCACACAGCATCAAAGTCGCATCAAACGTCTTATGTAAAGTCGCATATGAGTCACATGAAAGTCGCGTGCGACTTTCTCTCGCGCTTTCTATAAGCAAGGTGACAGAGTCAAGTAGGATCACTGAAAGTCGTTTGGAAAGTCGCACTAAAGTCGCATGCGACTAGCACACGACTCACACGTGACTTTGTGAACGACTTTTAGCGATCCTATGCGACTTTGATGGATCTGGGACTTTAAGTCACATGACGGGGCCTTCCTGGTATTGTTCTAGTCTAATTCTCAAGAAGGACCGAAAATTAATGGGCTGATGGCCAGGACATGCATCGCTGCAGCAAAGAGATCTAAACGCCACTGTGGCTGAATCATGTGTGCTTCTTGCAACCTGAACCCATACATGTAATAAAATTCTATGATTCAGTTTAGGTGCTCTAGAAAAACCGGCAAAAATCGTAGTAGCAAGCAGGCCTAAGTCGTCGGGGATAGACTGTTGCTACATGTATCTCAAGCAATACATTAGCAATACCGTGCCGTACGGTACTGGTCCTGAGACTGAACCAAATCTATCTGTCATCTTCCCAGTGACCAGCAATTATTATTGGTGGTCTGCAGCATAGCTAACCATCCGTGGCATAATGGCCAAAGTGCCAGCCACTTCATTTTTTGACTATTGCGCTCGTAAACTCTTGACTGAACATTCCGGGAATAGGTTGCGGATCAAAAAAGACTGCACTGTAGCAACAGATAGATGTAAAACTAACAGAGTTTCACACGGCTTTACTTTTTCGTCAGTGGTTCACCCAAGCAAATGGGAGAAAAGTTAGCGTCATTAGCTCGTCATTGTATCTTCTTTTTGAACATTCGGCGCAAATACAGCACTAGTACTACTGGTACATGTTGTAGGAACGCTGGTAGGTGACTGGGAGGTGACGGAACAGATGAGACCATTCAGTGGGTGAACTAGCGAAATAGACCAGTGTCCCCTGGGTTTCTTGTTTGACGTCTCGTCTGGAAAGGCACGATCAGCTACCAAAATTTTAATGGGAACCTACCGCCTGCTGCCGTAGGAGCTCTGTAGGACTGTACCAGATGGAACGACGGAACAAGGCCACTTTAGCAGGTCATACGATTTTAGCAAAAAAGTGACTGAGGTCTTTAGCTGATCCCTTCCCTAAGGCCTTCCCATTTTTGCAGAGCATTTATTTTATGGGAAGCCTCATTCACTGGGATTAGAATGGTTACCTGGCCTCCCCCCCACTAACTCTTTTGGAAGACTCTCCCCCTGATTCAACGTCGAAGGGATAAATTCTGTTGACAATGGTTTTTAATTTGTGCCAGCTGTACTCGGGAATCCGTAGTGGTGTGTAAGTGAAGCAGAAATGTTCCAACATTGGTGAAGAGGCAATTGGTGACTTTTTGTTTTGTTAAATCAGCTTGGGGCAGCGTTTGACCATCAGTCAAACTCGGAGTGCAGTTTGACATGCTCAGTTCTTGAGTGCTTTTGTCAGTTTTTTGCTGAATGTCTAATTGCCAGTGGTTGAAGCGTCTACTTCTTTTTCTATACTGGATCGATTCCATGTGTGTGATGAAGTCACTTGAGATCCAAAGAATGCATGTTCGCGACGGTAGTCAAAAGTTAGTACCACGCCAATCTTACGCAATTAAAGACTTCTGCCCTTCCGTGCCACGAGGTAGAATTTTCATGCGGTAGTAGTAGAACACCTGGTGGCACAGCAGTCAAAAGTCGGGACCATATGCATCGGCCAAGTATGGCCAAACCAGTACTGAATGGTACTGAGTGGATGCTTCCGTGCCGAATCCGAACGGCGAGGTTTGATGCTTTGATGGTCATATTATGGTCATCCCAGCCAAGTTCAAATTTTATTTTGATTCCTCTCTTCTATTCTCTTTCTCACTATTTTAGATCAAGAGATCCGAAAAACCAACTCTCTCACAAATCAAGCTACTTTATCTTCTACCTACAAGCACTACTATAATACCAGCCAAGATGATCATGAAGCAATCGACCCCCAGCAACATCAACAGCAACAGCAACACTCTGATTGGCATTACCAACCTATCAGGCCACAGCCACGGCAGCGGTGAGTTCAGCGTTGGCTCTAATAACGGCAGCCGCAAACGATCAAGTCCCATCAAGAAGAGCATCCAGTGGGAATTGGACAGCGACGGCGACATCCAGTGCGCGACCAAGTTGGTGGAGTGCTTTGCCAACCTTCCCGACGGCAAAGAATCCATTTGGTACGAAGGCAAGGAATTGGGCGCCATGAGGAAGAAAGATATCAAGAGTCTCAAGCACGCACAAGTGATGGCCGGAACTTCTTCTATCGAGAGTGACGAGATAACGTGGCGTGGATTCGAAGACATTGAAGGCTGCTGGTGTCGCGTGGAAAAAAGTGCTGACTATACCACGGCAGTTGTCAGACACTACCACGCCCAGTTGAGTCAAGGATACTTTGATCCCGAGGAATTGAAAAAAATAGCCAAGGGACTCTCTAAACAAGAACGCACACGAGTTCGTCAACTCGCACTGAAAGATGCTGCGGCCGTTGGAAACAAGACTGGCATTCTGGGGCGCCCCAGCACCATTCGTCGCGCGCGAAGCAACGTCACCACCGCAAGCAATGGCATGAAGAGAGTTTCCTCCTCCTCCTCTGGTGGAATGAAGAAAGTAAGGAGTTCTGCTGGTTTGAAGAAGGTGGGATCCATCAACCAGCTCCGCTTGGGAGTCCAAAAAGCAAGAAAAAGTGTCTCCAATTTGAGTAACTTCCAATGGGGAGTCAAGAAAAATGGAAGCAAAGAAAACCTGCAATTGGCCGCAGTCACTGCTGCTGCTTTCTAATTAGAAAGCTACAGCTGTGCCTGCTGAAAGGTCCTCTTTTCGCCACTCCAGCTTCTTCAGATCTGCCTCCATACTTGGCCCACCCTCCATCTATCTATTTCATAATAATACAAGACAATGATAATACTAACTAAAGAACGATGTCATTCCTCATTTACAATACTACAATACATACACTCAACTAGCTAGCTAGCTAGCTATCCAGCCACCTACCACGCTATTAGCTATCCCAATACCGGTAGTCTAGTCTGTGTCGAAGGCTTTGCATGACACTGTTGATAGTGTTGCCGCCAGCTCAAAGTCATCTTCCTCTTCTTCTTGACTCAGTGGTGAACTTTTCAACAGTGAAGCCTTCATCAACAGTTGTCAAGGTGGATGTAACTAGTCTAATACTAGTGGGTGGCTATTTGCGTTGCTTTGAGATTTCATGCCACTGATTACTTCTTAGCACTACCGGTACGCTACAAACAAGAAAGCAAGGCTAGTAGCTGCCTCATCATTCCAGCACCCTCACAGCCGTCTCCCTCCTCCAGTGAAGTGTAGTCTGAGTCCAGTGGTGGAAACTCTTCCACTTGCTTGGCCTTGGCCGCCGCCTCTTCTTCCTCCTCTCGGTCCACTCGAACCTCCCAAGCGTCCTTGTGGCCCTGCGCCATGGCAACTTCCCACTCCGATTGGGACAACGACATGGCGTACGCTGCCACTGACAAACATGACGAGTCATCATACAACTCCTCGTTCGTGCTGCTTTCTTGACTACTAGTACATATAGTACTACCAGTACAAGTCGTCATAGTACTAACAAAGAAACCCAACACAGACTGCACATAGTTTCGAATGGGCATCATTCGATCGTGACTAAATTGAATGTCTTCCAGGCCACGCCAACTCAAATTGTGGGGTTCCAATACGTGTCCCGGGCCGTAGAAGAGTTGCACTTGGATGTTCAGGCGCAATTCTTGTCGGTACAATGCGTTCAACTCGGTGCTCGTGTACCAAATGTTATTGGTGCTGTGGCTCTGATGATGATGGTCGTCATCATCAGCAGCAACCACAAGCAGGTCTCGTATTCGATCAATGAGGTGAATCTGGGCCAGATCATCTGCTTCCGTGGGAAATGTAACGTGCTTTCCCTTGCCTTTTCTGCTTGATAGTGAGCTGGTTGTGGATGATGGCGATGAGAGAGGAGGACTGCAGCTAATAGATGTAGAGGATGTACCGGCAGCCTCTTGAGAGTGGGTAGTACTACATGTACTACAAGAAGAATTGTCACTCATTTCGGATGATGTCGGGAGGGTCGGCAGTGTTGCCGGTGAGAAGCACGGGGCCATGACAGAGTTGGGATCTTGTCCTCCACCTCCTTGCTCCTCGTCGTAGGGAAGCGCCAATAATCCGGGATACTGCTTTGTCATGTCACCTGTGTTCGTGTACATGTTTCTTTCATCATAAACGCAAGAGGGAGCCATTGAGATATTGTCAACGGATGTAAACGCTGATGGATTTATGGCGATCATTGGTAGACGGCAATGTTTGTTACTACTATGGCTGGTTTTTGTTGGTAGCTAGGTCGGCAAGTTGCTGTTTTCGGTTTTGTGAGGCAAAGCCGCCAAGTCTCGGACTAGATAGATAGATTGCTGTCTTTTTGGCTCCTGGGATCGATTGATTGCAAAACAGCGAATTCCAAGCATCATGGTTGCCGTGGCCATGCTGGTTGGTGTCGCAAAAACATGGTTGTTCGTTCGCGTATGAAACATGCATGAATGAATCTGCTGAAATGCGATTGGCGTGCGCGCATCTTGCCTTTTCCAGTCCCACATATGCGTGCCCCTCTATTTTTGTCAGTTTCCTATGCTGGGATTCGATTCCTAGAGCTCCAATCTAGCTCCTGGCTGGAGTAGATGCCAAAGCTACCGGTACAGTTACAGTTAAAGTCAATTGAACTACTACGAGTCGATTCTTCAAGAACAAAATTGCACAAATCCAGGAGAAAGGCTGAGGAACAATGTCCTCCAACCGTAGACCATACTAATAGCTTGTCAGTTCTTACTGAGTAGACCTACTTTTGCCACTCATTGAATGCCGCCTGATGAGGTTCACCAACAACCTTGCTTACCAATGCTTCCAAGTCCTTGCATTCTTCATCAGTAATTTGATATTGACAGAGCCAAAGTTCTCTGTAGTAGTGGATCTGTTCGTGCCACTTGCCACTGGCTGATTTCTGATAGGCCAACTTCCCTAAAAACTTTAAAAAGGACTTTCTTCTGTGAGCTTTGGGCAGTCTTTCCTTGGATCCTTCCACTCAGTACTCTTCTGCTGTGTCAAAGTGGAGACACTCACTAGCATAGACACACTTGAGCACTTCCAAGGCCTTGGCATCTTCCATAGCATTTCCATAGCAGAAAGAGATGCACATGCAGCCAAAACCTAGACTACTGCCTTGCACTAGCCGCCTTTTATAGTCGGATTGAATGCTGTTTTGTTTTATCTTGTTTTGTTCTCCATACCTTGCCTTGTTCTTTGTTGTGTCGATGTTGTTGGGAGGGGAGGGTTTTATGGGCTTTGGGTATCTTTCAAATGATACTCCCATGTCGGGACCGCCGATCTTGATGCTTTCGTGGACGAAAAGATGGAGGACACCCAATCGCGCACCATCAGCCTCTGCTATCCGTCATCTTCAGGATTGCTTCATGATGAGAACTGTTGCCCATCGTCTTGGCACAGCCCCCATCTCCTCAACATTGCCTTTTGCATCCACGGAAGCTCCAGCCAACAGCCCTCGGATCTGATAGCGCAACTTTATCATAATCGAGGACGATACTTGAGATTGTTTCGTTTCCAGTCGCAACAACAATGAAGGCACCAGGCAAGACCAGAAAGCTATAGCCCTTTCATTTCGTTCAGTTCAGGATAAGAAGCAGAAGTGCTCAGCAGGCAAGAGGGAAGCAACCTCGCTTGGATCAAGTTGTCGAAGGGGCCGAACACCACGAAACGTCACGTTTGCTAATAACTGGGGTCCTATAACACAAGACTGCTTAGCTACAGCTAGCTTTGTGCATTGGGTACGGTGAGATTTGTAACTTCCAATTTTTTTATTATCCGGTACAGTCTATTGGCTAATATTTGATTTGTGTCATCACAAAGGGACAATAGGTAGCGATTTGGTTGCTTTTGGCTTGCCGAGATATTACGCAGCAGTGGCGGAGCCTCCCTTTTTGGAGGAGGCCATGAGCTTAGAGTTGGATCGTTTCATCCACGAGAGTGATCCCGAGAGCGTTCTTCCAATGCGCTGTCTTCCTCCTATCTTGCTCGGGGAGGGCTTGACTTCCATTTCGTCTTTTAATCCCATGGAGTGAGCGCGATCTCGTTCCCCCTTGGACATGGCCTTGGCGATCCTCTTGAGTTCCTCCGAGGATGTCTCGGAGCGATGTTCCAAGATGACGGTTCTCACGTAGGATTGAATGCGTTCCAGGCGCTCCGTTTCCTTTTCTAGGTTTTCCATGCCTCTCCAAGTGCAGTCTTCGTTTTCCAAAGCGGACTTTTTGCTGGAGGACGTGGTGCGATCAGCTTGGAGCTGATGGAGCAAGTTCTTGCGGATCTCTAGTTTGTGCAGCGTATTGAGCTGCCTCTTGGTGTACCAAACATCGTTCTTGCTTTCGGGGTCTACGATTTGTACGGTGCGGACTTGCTCGGATCCAAAGCTGACGGTGCGCTTCAGTCCTGGTGGCTGCTTGTTTTCCTTGTCATTGCTGGTACTAGTAGTGCGCTTCAGACCACGCTTACGAGTATCGCGGAGACTCGATGCCCGAGCGACGCCTCGTGTGGGTGGTGCCGCAGCCGCAGCGCTCCAGGTAGCATTGCCGCCATTGGCTCTTCCGCCGTGGCCGTTGCCCCAATCGTTGCTGGTCGTCCGGCCGAGACCTCGTTTACGAATCTCTCCAGAGCTAGTAGTGCGTTGCACGTTAAGAGGGCGATTGCGCTCGCGCTTGGGACTGATGCCTCGACTGATACGAGGCTTTCGTGGAGCTACGTCGATCTTGAGTACGGTACCGGTCGCCATGGTTGCTAAGTTGCTGTGAGTACTTGCTGAGTGCTACCTGGTAGCTATTGCGTTGCTGAGAGCGTTTTGCTTCTGAGCTTTTTGGAATTGTGAGAAGCAAGGGGAAGGAGTGCACAAAGTTGGGATGGGAGCGACCTCTGAAGCTTCTTCACTTCTGATGATGAACAAAGCAACACCTCATCAGAGATTTCGGTCAAACTCAGATGGTTTATCCAGTGGTTAAGTACTTCCAGACTTCGAGTACCGCGGTTGATGCGGATGAGTTGTTCGTAGACAAAGTCGAAAGAACCCCCTTTTGAACTATCTGGGTTACTCGGCATTGGCCGGTTGTGAAAGTAGAAGCAGCAGACAGCTATTAGAATTAGGTAGATGCGGTAAATAATATTTTTCTTGTGTACAAATATTGTCGTGAATTTATTCTCTAACCCTATAGTTTCCCAAACTACTGTTCTAGTCCTGTCTTCCTGTGAACACAGGTGGTACAGCGTACTGCCCAACCCGAATCAACGAAAAGCCTGTTACAGGAAAGTGGTTTTCTGATTCTCCCTCAATTCTTGAGAAACGAAGCCGTATAAACCTGTATAAACTTATTGAACCCGGTCTAAATACGATTTGGCATGGTGTCCAGCGACTCAGGTTTCGAGTTCTTTTGATCGCGCTTCTTCCATCCAGGTTGGCTGGGCAATTGCTTCAAGTGTTCTCACCATCAACGGGGACACTAAAGATACCGGTATGAACGAACATCGAAGTCGCACCATGATTCCAATGTTAAGTCTCCATGAAGCAATTTATTCCACTCAGGACCCCTGGGAAACTGCTATGACTATTTCAGTCGCTGAACTTTCTTCAGTAGTTCCCTGATGTTTCATAGAACTACTAGCTAGTACTCCACAGGCCTAGCTTTAGAAGCCCAAACCCGGGCTGCCAGCTACCGGGAGCTATCTGGGATCTGGGTAGCTCACGCTAGCTAGCTAGCACATGCGTGCAAACCGGGCTATGGGCCGTATGGCAGCCAGTATGCAAAAACCAAAGTGGCTAAGAATGCTTGGCTATAAGAGCCCAACTGACAATCAAGTTGACCTGGACACATAGTATGACAACATTGCAATACTGGGTACGAGTTGGCTGAAGTACGGCTGTAGTCCAGAAAAGTCTACATAGTCTAGGTCCAGGCAAGATAAGGTCGTCCAAGGGCTGACCTGGACCGTCCGACGGTTTTCACACAGGATTTAAAAAAATCTTGAAATTGCCACGACTGAATGACCGTTTAAAACAATCCCTTAAACAATCCCTTAACTCATCAACTATCCCTTAAACAATCCCTTAAAGAAACAATCCCTTAAAACAATCCCTTAAATCTTGGACTATCCCCTAAACAATCCCCTAACGCCAAATGGACATACCATACAACTATCCCTTATTTCTTCAACTATCCCCTAAACAATCCCTTAAATAAACAATCCATTAACAACAATCCCTTAAATCTTTGACTATCCCTTAAACAATCCCTTAAAAGAAACAATCCCTTAATTGTGCTGGTCAAGTTTTTGTCAGTCGTGGAAGCTTTTTAAATCCTGAGTGAAAACCGTCGGACGGTCCAGCATCCAGCAAGCAAGCACACCCTATGCTATCAATAACTGGCAAGCTAAAGGCCGGCCAGGTGGTGAGGTGTGTCGTGTTTCTCCTCGCCCAAATGGATCCCAAAGGAACAGCTTGACAGCTTGGAGGTTTTGGGGGGCCTCTCAATTTCAGCTAGACCGGCTAAGGGGGTGGCGAGGATTATGATGATGGGTTCTAATAAGACACAAACATCGGTCCAGTTGCCAGCTGCGACCACCATTTCGATGGATCCATCCTTCCTATCGCATCCATCTTCAGGTCTCCTCTACAGTAAGAACTGTTTCACTGGCTCGCCTGCTACTCGTAGCCTGAACCTGCCAGAGAACTCCGCCAAGCACTAGATAGCTTCAAAGGATCCAGGCACGAATAGTTTACAGGTGGGAATTTGTATTCTCGGTTGCCGCTTATTTGCTTTGCAGTCAACGTTTTGTTCCGACTGCAATGCTCTTTCAACCTGCAAAGGGGCTTCTACCACGACCACAAAGGAGGAGCCTCCCGTTGGTTTCCGAGCTGTCAGAAGGGGATACAACTCCTTCTGATTTCTTGCCTTCAAGCTGCTGCCCTCGTGGCAAACTTTGAACTCCTTTTCAAAATTTCAGCGAGAGCTGCTTGGATGGGGTCCAATGTCCAATCATTGCTTGTTTTGCTGGAGGCAGTCGAGCTAATCTCGGCGCTGAAGTCATCCCTCACCGGAGCCAGTACATCAGCACCACCAATGCCATCTACTGTGGATGCGGTTGGATGAAGTAACCAAAAAGCAAAGTACAACAGCCACCAGAGACAACACCCAGCCACAGCCGACAGTGTGATGATGGGCCATGACTGTGCCGCTGCATTCGCGGTCTATAACCAACTCCAAGCAACTCGTGTCATTCATTCCATTGCAGCAACGCTGACTGCGTTGGAGACGGCTCGAGCAAAACATGTCAGAAGCCATGGTTCCTTGGTTGCTCGCACCATCTAAATGGGCTGGCTTTCGGTAGAGGTTGAAGCATCGGAAGTGCAAAGACCAATTTCTGGCAGTGGCAATGCCTGGCATTGGTCAACTTGAGGAGTCAGGAGCAAATTGTGTATAAACGTTTGCTACCATACTCAAAATCAAGCGACGATTGCTGCAGACAATCAGCTGCCTTCAGTCACAAGCAATGGTCACATCCTGATTCGATTCGTTCTGTGAGATCATCACTCCCCTGAGCCAGCAGTTAGATTTGAGCTACCATACCTACCGCATAATACTATGTATAGATGTTTCTGACTGTTTTGGCTTGGTTGCAAACAGCCTGGGAAAGGTTGCAAACAGCCTGGGTGGTGGTGCTGTCCCATCAAAGCTAGCTACCGGTAGGCTAGTAGGGTTGCTGACCAACGTGCAGTTTCTGGCTGGCTGGCCCTCTAGAGAAACCCTTGGCTTGAGTGGATCCTTCCATCAGCCAGGGCATTGACTTTGCACTTGAGGACTCACTTGGGCTTGCCGTCTATTAGGTTTGGCGTAGAGTTGATTCAAGCAAGATTCCCAGGCAGCATCTGTGTTGTTCCCAACCCAGGTATCATCGAGTTCTACGTGGAGTGTGCCTACTTGGCTGGAATGTACCAGGTCCCACATCATGCTCGCTCTGAATGTATTGTGGCTGGCTATTCGAGTAACCCAATAAGTTTCCTCGTAGCTATTGCTGCTATTATTCTTAGCCGTCAATCGACGGCACAGTAGCAGTACAGTGCACGGAAAGCTGATTGAAGCTGCGGTGGTACCGGTGGGCAAAGAGGAAGGAGTTTTCCAGCAAGATCGGAGAGATAATAGTGTCGGTCCAGCAACGCAAGAACTGGTTTTCGATTGGGTCAATTTGGGTGGGTCACTTCAATGGAAAGTTTCCTCTTGCTTCCTGGAAAGTCCAATCTATGTTCAGAATGTAGTCTAGACTATAGACTATGTGGCTGGTTTGTTCGGCAAAGAATTGCAGTGAGATGTTTTTACCTTGGCAGTCTATCTGCCTGAGCCCTCTACCCCTTTTTTGGTATTTCCTATTTCCTATATCCTATATCCTATATCCTATATCCTATTTCCTATTTCCTGTTCCAGTGAAGCCAAAATATAGGGATAGAGATTGGCATAAGCCAACAAAACTGGAAATTGAAGGTGCTACAAATTTAGGGGTAGGAATAAATCATGATTATTCAAGGTTAGTGCACTCAACACAATAAGTCAGCAGAAACAGGTACATACGGGAGTGACAGCTGTAAAATTATGGTTAGTGGGGCAACACACAACGAAGTCGGGTGTTGTCACCAGGGCTAGCTTAAATTAAAAAGAAGGTTATAATGATTACGGGCAGCAACACAGGACGAAGTGGGGTGTTGTCACCAGGGCTACCTTGAAAGAAGGGTGCAATCGTGCAATCTCAAACAGAGCCTCTTTCTTCTACTCAGTATTTAATTTTGTCTTTCTGCCGAGGTATGGCAGCTCCCAATGACTTAACACGGTGTCTCATGCTCACTGTAGATGCGACTAGCTGAGGTGGCTTTTCTAAAAGCGAACTGCTTCAACCAGTGGTACGGTACCGGTTACCGGTTCACGGTTCATCACGATGAAGGCTTTACTTGGGAAGGCGCGGAAGCCTCTACAGTAGCCGTCAAGCCATCACCACCAGCAGCATCGCCGAGCCATGCCAAGAAGATATCTGGTTTGCGGGTAAACAGCGCCATTGACGCTCGACTTCCTCTGAGCTTGCTAGAGCTAGCCATAAGCGTGGCAAAAGCAATCAATTGAGTCTTCTATTGCCCGCTCATTGCTTTCATTCCTTCAATTCAATTCTTCCCAAGAGATCCTAGTAGTAGCTAGACTATAGACTACTACCAATTCAGAACATACCGGTAGTAGCTAGCTAGAGCTAGCATCGCATTGCTTTGTTGATCAGCTCATCTTACGCTCATCTTAAGTCGACTTAAGCTCTTCTTAAGTCGACTTTTAAGCTACCTTAAGCTTGACTTAAGCTTACCTTCAGGATATCTTAGCAGCCTGACTTGACCTGACCTGACCTGACCTTACCATGGCAGGAGTGGATTGCTACGGGTACCGTCAGCAGCAGCAGCAGCAGCAAAGCCAGTACGACGTGAACAACATGGAGTACCAGTACGAGTACGACGATCCCAGTGTTGGTGGAGGTGGTACCGGTATGTACGATGCGTACAATCCCACGGAACCGGAAGAAGTGGAGACTGGCTTTTTCTTGGACGCCAACGACCAGCCGTACTACGTGGACGCGGAGGGCACCGAGTATTATCCAGATGCAGAGATTGATCCTCAAGAAGCGCAACAGTTTGGACTCAAGTTCGTCACGGACGCAAACGGCCTTTATTACTACCAAGATGTCACGCTAGATCCGTCAGAAGCAGCGCTTTTCAAGGGGGTCGATAGAAGCATTGGCCCTCAACCTACTAGTACTTCTAATAGTGCTGCTGTCGTTGCTACCCCTCAACCTACTGCACCTGAGGTTCAGGCTCAGGTCCAGGCCAATGACAGTTCCTCTGTAGACGACTGTCAATCTCACTTTACGGGCAGTCTGTCGGATCCAGAGGACTCTCGTCAGTCCCCAGATCAGCCAAAGACTGCCACAAACACAAACACAAACACACAAAAAGGACCGAAACGAAATGGGGAACGCAGAAACAAGCTCACGCCGAATGCATGTAGTAACGACAACGACACCGACCATCCAACCAAAATTGCTCGATCGCTTCCAGCCACTACCACCAAGACCCCAATCCAACGAGCGCACAGCATTTCCAATACCAGCACCGCCAGTAGACTCCAGACACAACAAAACAGTACTCCAAGAGCACCTGCCACTCGATCTCAAAGTGGTTCGGCCGCAAGAGAATCCCGCAAAATGGAAGCCAGATATGCCGCATACAACCAAATGACCATCGATTTGGACGATGATGACGACGACCACCACCACCACGACGAGGAAGAGTTTGCAATGGCCGTCCAGCGTGAAGCCGAACGACGAATGACACCACAAAGCGTACCACCACAACGAGGCAATCAGCATCGAGCCAACATTCGATCTTCTGCTCCTACTAGTCATCATCAAAGAGATCGGAGTCCGCTACCAAACACAGGATCACAACGAAATCTCCTGTCGGACGAGCGCAGCAATAAACAACGAAATCATCATTCCAGCAGCAGACCATCGGATGCCAGCACCATGTCGTCGGGACACGAATCCTTTAAAAGTCTCATGAGTGGTGCTGACGATGCATCGGTGGCCACGGGACGATCCTCCAAAGCCAGTACGACAGGATTGCGACGTGCAGGAAGTAACCGTGTTCTCCTCGAACGAATGCGAATCTCCAGTCGAAACTGCAATACACACGACGACGACGATGTGTCGTTGCTCGACGACGATCATCAGCTCGAATACGAACAACAAGGCGAACAACCCGGGTACCAACCAACGTCGTCCAGGGATATCATGCGGAAATACAACAGACCTGCACTCTCGAGGGAATCGAGCGCGAGGTCCATGAAATCAAACAACAATATCGGCAGACCTACACTCTCGAGGAATCATTCCAACAACAGCAATAGCGGCAGGAGCTTGCTCTCCAGGGAATCCAGCGCGAGGTCCGTCCATTCCAGCAGGCCAGGCTTGACCCGACAAAAATCCGCCCGTCGTGGAGGATACGGCAGATCTCGTGCCGATCGACTCAGTCAACGAAACTTGATGCGAGAACAGTACTCATCGGCCATTGAACGACACCAAAAAGCCCAAGACGAACGAAAAGAACAAGAGGAATGGGAAGAAGAACTCATGATGCAAGAAATTGAACGATTGCAGGATTTACAAATACAACGAGCCAAGGAAGCCGCTCAAGGAAGTTCTGTCCAGCAGCAACTCAGAATAAACTCGTTGACGCAAGGAACCAAAAACGTGGCACAACAATCCATGTCGGGCCTCGCCACTGCGGCTGGTGTAGCGGCAAAGGTCGGTCTTGCCACCACTCATCTGGCTGCTGGAGCCACCATTATGGTTGGAAAGACAGCAGCCACCGTTGGCTTGGCTACTGCAAAAGGAACGGCAGGAGCCACCATGATTGTCGGGAAAACTGCGGCCAACGTTGGATTGGCTACCGCGAAAGGAACTGCCGGAGCAACCATGATTGTCGGAAAGACAGCTGCCACGGTTGGATTGGCCACAGCGAAAGGAACGGCTGGAGCTACCAAATTTGTGGCCAAAACTGCCGTGAACACCACCGTTGGAGCCTTCACTGCTGGACCTGCGAAAAAGCATTCAGGTGGACATCATGCAAGAGTGAACTCCTGTGATGACAATAAAATGGAAGAATTGACGGCCCACCTTGGAGGAATCGCCGCAGCTTATCGAGAAAACAGGGCAACCGAACTATAAGAATTCAATATTATATAACAGCACGAATAATATGGACACCTAGAATTTTAGAAGAACTATCTAGCCATACTAGAGACTGCCTTGGCAAAACTATCTAGCCATACTAGTAGAGACTGCCTTGGCAAATAGCCCTCGACGGATGTAGGGCCCTTGTGAATCTTATTTGTCTGTTTGTCTGTTTGTCTGTTTGTCCCATTGTCTGTGACAGTTTTTAGCCTTAACCCTATAAAAGTAGCCTGCCCAAAATTTCAAAGAGGAACAGATGACTGGCTAGCTAGCCAGCTGGAGTAGCTACTATTAATAGTTACCATAGCTCCCAAGCAGCCAACTGTTCATTATTTAGCTAGCCAGCTAGTAGGAGAGCCTAATATCTTGGCTATCCAAGCAGCCAACTGTTTATTACCTAGAGCTAGAAACAGGCTCTAATATCTACTAGAGCTAGCTGGCAGTGGTGGCAGTACTAGCTAGGTAGTTACACGTTGTACATCGTAGCCAACCAGCCCAATAATTCCATTTCAAACTCGTTGAGGGCTCATGCCGAAGGCATCCTCAATCTGGGATTCCAACATCTTTAGCCCTAAACCGATGTAGGGCCCTTGTGAATTTTGTTTGTCTGTTTAGCCCTCAATGGACGTAGGGCCCTTGTGAATTTTATTTGTATGTTTGTCCGTTTGTGTGTCACACTTTTTAGCCCTAGCCCTATAAAAAGTAGCCTGCCCAAAATTTCAAAGAGGAACAGATGGCTGGCTAGCCAGCTGGAGTAGCTACTATTAATAGTTATCGTAGCTCCCAATCAGCCAACTGTTCATTATTTAGCTAGCCAGCTAGTAAGAGAGTCTAATATCTTGGCTACCCAAGCAGCCAACTATTTATTACCTAGAGCTAGAAACAAGCTCTAATATCTACTAGAGCTAGCTGGCAGTGGTGGCAGTACTAGCTAGCTAGGTACGCGTTGTAGCCAACCGGCCCAATGATTCCATTTCAAACTCGTTGAGGGCTCATGCCTTCGGCAGCCTGAATGCCTGTTTGTCTGTTGGTCCGTTTGTCCGTTTGTCCGTTTGTCCGTTTGTCCGTTTGTCCGTTTGTGTGTCACACTTTTTAGCCATAACCCTATAAAAGTAGCCTGCCCAAAATTTAAAAGAGCAACAGATGGCTGGCTAGCTAGCCGAAGTAGCTACTATTAACCTCGGCAGTCTATCTGCCTGAGCCATCTACCCCTTTTTGGTATTTCCTATTTCCTATTTCCTATTTCCTATATCCTATTTCCTATTTTCTATTCCGTCTCCTGAGACGGCACTCCTTTTGGTTACCCCCTCAGTTGCACTCTGAAATCGATCACCCGCGTTTACTGTGTAAATTAGAGTAGCCACACTTCAGTTGCAGAATCAGCAACGGTCATGTGTATTATTAAGTAACATGTTCTCTTTCGAAAGATTTAGATCGATTCGTGGATAAAAGAACCGTTGAAGTTTCTAAGGTTAAGGATAAACTGATCGCACCGATGGTCCCTCATTATGGAAGGTGCAGCACTGACTTCTCTCCCTCATTGAATTCATATGGTAAACAGGAGGTAAATCCAAGCTTGAACGGCAACAATGGTGAGTGCTTTATCCAATCGGCCGATCGATCGAATCGATTCGAGGTAAGCCTATTATCAAGAGTGTTAATTGAAGGTGCAGTGCTGACTTCTCTCCCTCATTGGATTTCTATGGTATTCAGGAGATAAATCCGAGCTTGACCGTCAACAGGTGAGTTGTTTTAATTATTCGAATCGATCGATCGATTGCACCTCTATTATCCAAGCCTCACTCAAACCGACCTTCTCCGGTACAGAAGCGAAAGCCATCCCTCATTGAATCCTATGGACCATGGGATGGCAGTCAGTTCTCGGCCCATGACAGCCAAGTTGGAGAAAATTGAAACAATGGTAAGTCTCCGGTCGTCTGCAGTTGAGCACAGAAAACAAAACTCATATCTATTTGTTGTTTTCTCTGCTGTACTGCTGAGGGCCGAGGAATTACCATTGTCGCGGTCCAATGAACGATTGATCGCTCCGGATAACAACAAGAGGAGAGAGGAGAGGCTACCAACACAGAGAAGACTGTTAACTCCAGCCCTATCATCAGACTGAACGCTCGGAGGAGGCGTCGTCGAGTCATTGAACGGCGACGGTCAACCGGAGGAGGCGACAACACACAAGAGAGTGGATCCTACTACTGGATTCACCCCTCCAGTGTTATTTCATAGTGTTTTGGTGGTGATTCCTGTGCCAGTACCCATTTTCCCGCGGGAACAGTGCTTGTGGAGCCTGGATTGACAATATTTCTGTATTCATTGTAATGGTGAAACATTGGAGCGTAGCGAGCAAAACCAATTCTGAGTGTGTTCGGTACTGTTGACACTGTCACCGATTGATGCAACTATACCGTAACCGGCTACAATGGCTGGATTGACAATATTCGGTTTTGTGCATGTATTCGTCATAAGGATCCAACAAGAGGTACCGGTAACCGTAGCGAGCAAAGCCGAACTTTCGGTACTGTTGCCACTGTTGCGATGTAGCTATACCGCAGCTGGCTACAATGGCTGGATTCATAATGTTCGGTTGTGCATGTATTTGTCGTAAGGATCCAATGCAAGATACCGGCAACGGAGTGTAGCCAGCAAAGCGGAACCTAAGTGTGTTCGGTACTGTTAACACTGTCACCGATGTACCAGAACACTGCGGCAACTCAGGAACGACCAGCCCCTGTTCGACCACATTGTCAAACTGAATCCCGATTGGGACGAGGACACCCCTGCCCTGGTTGATTGGATAGCCCATGGACGAGCTGTCAACCGTCACGAGATCCACAAACCGACAATTGTGAAGTTCCTATTTCAATTGTTGCCAGTTGGGAAACGGATCCACCGGGATGACCCCAAGTATGATCACCACTGTCCCCGTTGTGGCAGTGATCACGAGACTGAAATCCATGTTTACCGATGCCCGCATGTTGACGTGGATTTGTGGCGAGGGACCATGCAACGAGCGATCAGCACAAAGTTGCACAAGGATTCCACTGACCCCTTCCTCCTGGAAATTGCTCTGGATGGACTACAATACCACTTTGAAGATCGATTCCTTCACCCATGGCATTACCCTGACAGGTATAGGGACCTCGTTGACACTCAAAATCTCATTGGTTGGGACAACTTCCTGAGAGGACGTTTGTCCAAGCACTGGGCTAAGCATCAAGATGCATATCTGCATCGGGTCGACTCCCAGGAGACCACCAAGACAGGGCAGCTCTGGGTCACCAACCTAGCCTCACTGCTCATCCAGCAGTGGTGGAACCTGTGGGAGGATCGAAATGCTGCCAGGCATGGCAAAGACAGGGAAGACCAGTGGAAGAAGAAGCAGGAACAGCTTCAGCGGGAGGTGGAACTCATTTACGAGAAAGCGGATCTGATCCCAGCGGAGCTGGTGGATTTTATCTTCAAGCGACCACTTGACGAGCAAATGGCAAAGGGCCCAGGCGACATCAAAGCGTGGCTTGCCAATTGGCTGCCCGTCGTCGACAAGGCACTCAGGGACGAGCATGCACACACAGCGCAGAACAATGACACAGGGTAACTATGCACAGAGGGGGTCTCCCCGTAGAAATAGATGGCAATCCAGCCAAGGGTAGCTAGATAGTCGTACAGCACCCTCCGGAGTTTTGTTAAATTTCTCCGGTGGGGGGCTTACACTAGGTCCATCCTAAGTGGGCACACTTGTGCGACTGAGGTATATGGGTTCGTCACGGCACCGTTCAGCGGATCGTCTGACGAGGTGTAGCCTTTAAAATAAAATCTCGTTATTTTTTTTTTTGACACTGTCGGCGATGTAACTATACCGTAACCGGCTACAATGGCTGGATTGACAATGTTCGGTTGTGCATGGATTCGTCATAAGGATTTAATGAAATGTACCCGAGCGCAGACAAACTGCGCTCGCCCAGAGCAGCTAGACACGACTAGTAGAGGATTAGGTGAGTGGAGAGATTCGGCCATTTACTGAGCCGACCGTCTCCAGTCCCCGGGGTACCATTCGGGACTGGGGAGTCCCGGATGGATCCCACACAGCAAAAGGGAGTCCCGGGAATGTGATGTTCCACGGGACAGCCTTGAGTCGTGCAACCCAAAAGCCAAAGGCAGAACAGGGAGGGAGCGTAGCGGGGTGGGAGAAGGTACCCCCTGTCCAGGTGGAGGCGAGGACAGGGGGCCGAGGACTAGGGATAGGTTAGTCCTCGTAGAGTTCTTCATGGAGAAGAATCTCGTTGAAGTGTTGGGGCGCTTGTGCCGAGAGGAGGTGGCGATCGTAGGTGCATCCCGGGAAGTTGTACACCCCATGGTCCAACATCTGTTGGGAGTAGTGGTGGGTGGCGGCAACGGCTTGGATGCGCAGGTAGCGGAGCATGGCGTCGGACTTCCAGCAGCCGAGAAGGCGGATGGCATCCGAGTCCACATGGGCGCAGAGAAGGATGGTGGCACCACCAGGACGGAGGGAGCGGGCAGAGACCTTGTCAGGGTTGATGCTGGTGTCATGGGAGATGAGGGCCGCAGCGTGGCGGAGGGCGTTGGTGATGAACTGGGGCTTCACAGGATACCACCGGTTGCGGGCCGCATTGAAGTGGTTGAAGAGGGGAGTATCATCGTCGGCGCCATTGGTACGGAGGTGGTAGACCACACGCGCGAGGGACTTCACCGGGCAAAGCCACAGATCAGAGGTCGGGCGGTGGCCCACGGACTCGCCGCAGACAGCATTCTTTTGGTCAGTGAATGTAAACGTGGCATCGGTGAGGCACGCGTGGTTTTTCACGCCATTCAAAGAGATGGTGTCTCCGCGGACTTGGAGGCCGCCGCGGACAGTGAAGGAGACATCACAGAGGCGAAAGGCTTGACTTCGGGATTCAAGGTTCCCGGTATCCAGGTACTCCACAGGGCGTAGGAGCCAGAAGAAGGCCAGGATGCAGAGG